CTAAAAAACTAATTAACTAAAATTTTAGTTATTAATTAACTAATATTTTATAAGAAAAAAATTAATATTTATATTTATAAGCTTATATATTTATACTTTTAAAACTAAAAATTATAATAATATTTTATTTTTAATATATTTTTATATAAAAATATTAAAAAAATTATATTATTTTTATTTAAGCTAATGATAAATAATTTAATTTTTTTTATATTTCTTAGCTAATTTTAAAGCATTTAATTTTTTAAAATATTAATATTTAAGTTTTTTATTTTATTCTTTAATATATTTTATAATAAATTTAATTATTATATATAACTTTTATTACATTTTATAATAACTTATATAAAATCTATATAAAAAAATTATATAAATTAATAATTAATTATTTTAATTTTTTTCATTAAAATATTTATTTTCTAGCTCTTTAAAATCTTTAATTTAGCTTTTTAATAATATTATTTCCTTAACTAAACTAGACTTAAGCCTATTTTTAGATTTAGTTATAATATTATTAAAAATAAAAAAAACATTTTCTATAGCAGCAGAGGTAGCAGGAATAGCTAAATAATGCTTTATTAAAATAAATAATAAAAAAAATCTATTATTATTTATTTTTCAATATTCTAAAGGGTTTTTCTATAGTTATTTTATTAATAAATAAATATATATAAAATAATAATAAAATAACTTATATCTTCTTTTATAAGACTTTTATTTTAATATAATAATAATTTACTATTTTTATTATTATTATTAATCCTTAAATAAAATTCTTTATTAAAATCTAATAAATAATTATTATTATTATTATAATTAAAATCTTTAGCTAATTTATTAAAAAATAAATTAACTAAATTAATAATTATTTCTAGCTTATTTATTTTTTCTTTTAATCTATAATAAAATTAATAAATAATATAATAATAAAATAATAAAATAAACTTAATTATATTTAATTTTAAATAAATTAATAATATTTTTATAAATATTATTATCAAAAAATAATAAGCTATTTTCTTTAAAATAAATATCTTTAAATCTAGGATTTAAAAATAAATTAAAAAAATAAAGCTTATAATTAATTAAATTAAATAAATTTAATTTCCTAAGAAAATATTTCTTTAATTTAATTATTCTAGACTTAATAGCTTTTATATAAATATTATAAAAAGGGGCTTATAATAAATTAATAAATAAATAGTTAATTTAATTTAATTAACTTATTATTTTAAATTCTATTAGAATATTTAAATAATACTTTAATAAGCTTTTTAGTTTATTATATATTTTATAAATATATAATAAAGCTATTAGAATTATTATATAAAGCTGGCTTTATAATTTAATAAAAGGCTTTAAAAAATAAAAAATATATTTTTTAATTCTTCTAAAGCCTTTTATTTAACTTTATTAAAAAATAACTATAATTATTAATAATTAAATAATTATAATTATAAATAAAATTATAAAATAAACACTTTTTTAAATTTTAAATTTTTAATAATTTTATAATAATAATTTAATGCTTTTTTTAAATTAATTAAAATATTAAGCATATAATAAGTTAAATTCCATTTAGTTAAATTATTTATTTAAATTAATAAAAATTTAATAAAATAAAATAAAATAAAATAATAATAAATAAATACCTAAAGGAATTTTTTTTTATTATAATTAGCAGGTATTTTTTTATTTCTTTTAGCTTTTAATATACTATTACTTAATAAATTATTAAGCTCTATTATATATTTAACTAAAGCTTTAATTTATTTTAATTAATTTATTAAATTTAATTTTTATTAGTGTTTTTTATAAAATAATAATATAAAATACAATAATAAAATAACTTATTATTATAACTTATATTATTAAATTATTTATTTTTATTATTATTATTATATAAATATAAATTTATATATTTTAATAATAATAAGCTTAAATTAACACTAGATATATAGTCTTTTAATATATCTTATATTATTAAATTAATAATATATGCTATATATTTAATATTATTTATAAATTCTTTTTTATTAGCTTTTTTATAAGTTTTTTTAAAAAATTCTATAAATTTATTATTATTATAAGCATTATCTTTTATAATATTAATAATTAAAAAATAAATTATTTATTAATTATATTATTTTAAATTAAATAAATAAAAAAATATACTTAAATATATTATTTATATTTAATAAATAAAAATATTGCTTTAAAGCTTTTTTAAACTACTGGAATATATATATTCCTGTATAGCTTTTTTTTAATTTAATAAAACCTATAATAAAATTAATAATTATAAATAAAATAAAATAAAATAAATAAATAAATAAATAAAATACCTATTAATTTATATTTTAATGTAAAATTTAAATTAATATAAATTAAAATAATTCTTAAATAGGAATTTTAATTATTTAAAGTCTAAATATTAAAAGTTATAAAAAAAATTCTATAGCTTTTAATATTAGCTTTTATATATATATTTAAATTTAATAAAGCTTTATTATAATTATTTTTTAATATTTCTTTAATATTAGTTTAATTAATTATAATATATTTATTAAAAAATATTAAAAAATATAATAAATATAATAATAATAATATTAATAAAATAACATTTATTATAATAAAATAATAATTTATTAAATAAATAAAGATATAGTATTAAAAAAGATATTATTCTTTATTAAAAAAATTAATAATTTATTTAAAGCTTTTTTTTTATTAAAGCTTAATAAAAAATTATTATTATTAATATTATTACTTTTAACTTTTTTATTTTACTTATTTAAATTAAATAAAGTATTATTAATTAAAGAAATAATATTAGCTTTTATAAAAAAAATTAATATATAAAAATAAATAATAAAATTATATAATAAACAAAATAATATACTTTTTTTTTTATTTTTTTTAAACTTTTATTATAAGTAATAGTAGAATACTTAGCTTAATAATGCTAAAATAAATTAAAAGCTTAAAAGCCTTGAATTTTACATTTTATATAAAAACTGTAACTATAATTATTTATTAATAAAAAATACTAATAATAAATAAATAAATAAATAAATAAATAAATAAATAAATAAATAAATAAATAAATAAATAAATAAATAAATAAATAAATAAATAAATAAATAAAT